TTGTATTTGGATGGCGGCCGTTTTCATGAACGTGCATGTTGGCGCTGTTGATGGCATAGCCACAACCATGACCAACCATCGTTTGGCCACCGGATCCTGTCATGCTGAAGCCACTGGCGCTGCAGCAGGTGCTGCTGGCACTGGTGCTTGTGCTGCTGGTGCAGCTACTGGTGCAGCTTGATTAACTGCAGGTGCAGCAACAACTGCTTATGCTGCTTGTTGTTGGCGGGGTTGCCTTGCTTGAGCATGGTTGCATATTGCTGAATGGTGTGACTCTTGGCAATGACAGCACCGATGGTTTGACCAACATTCTCGCCCAAAATGATTGTTCATCAGACAATTGTGACAGAGTCTTTGCTGTTGTACAGCTTGTTGTCTCTGTTGGATGGACTGTGGACATGCCATTGGTGCATGTTGCCCATCGCATAGGTTACATCTATCGCGTCCATAATTGTTGTTGTTTCTGCGGGGTTCTTGGTCCCGTCTATCTTGTTGCCGATAATTTCCATAACTGCGGAATCCGCCCTGATCTGAGCAAGATTGTTGCAGAGAGTGGCTTTGCCGCTTGTATGGGGATCTTCCCCTCTTTAACCACTTACGTAGTGGACTTCTTGAGCGTGATTGCTGTTTGTGATCCCATTTGCGTTTGCTTTACAAGTTTCCATTTTGTTTGTTGTCATACTTTTTTGGTTGTTGGTTATTTGTGGCTGTGGCTGTTGCCACTATTGCGCTTGTCTGACCTTTGTCAGCTTCATCTTTACCTTCCTTCTTCCTGGCTTTTGCAGACCCCTCTGGGTTATCCGCAGAAGTTTTGAAAGCCAATGTTGTTGATGGTTCCTCAAGTCCTAACTTTTTCTGGAAGAAAGTCCTGATGAAGCGGTATTGGGCATGTGGCCTTTTCTGCCATTTTGCAATGAGAGCTGCTGCTTGTGGACTCTTGTCCACTTTGACTTGAATCATTTCCAGGTATCCCCCTCTACAGAGGTGGGCTTCAAGAAGTGGTCCAAATCTTTCATGCACTTGATGCATATTGATTTTGATGGTGCTCAATTTTTCAGCAATCTTCACAACATTATCAAAATAGTTGTGGAATTCAATTAATGTTGTGGGAGTAGGAAGGTGATCAAAAGTTTGATACAACCTAGTTCTTAACTCCTCTGTTTGCCCATACTCAGTAAAGAGTACATCCAGTACTCCTAAGTATTCTACATCTTTGTCTTGATCCGCAAATGCATCCATGTTTTGCCATGCGTCACTATCCAGGTAGAGAAGCAGGATTCTGGTATGCTCCGCGTCCGTCAACTGCTCCTCAGGGATTAGGTGAACTGGTGTAAAGCTGGTCCACATCCTCTCAAAGGTGTGATCCGCTGTTGGTTTTCCTGAAAATTTGAGAAAGGAAGGCTTCTGAGCCTGTTTCTCGTAGGATTTTACCAAGTCAATGTGTGAGAGTTTTGAAGGTTGGCCTGTGCCAAAAATCTCAAGAGCTCTCTTGTATGGATCAACGGTCTTTACTGAAGATCCAAGAAATAAGAATTGCCCTGGTTCTTTTGGGCTGAAAATGCCAACTTCCTGTGGAGGCATTTTGGGTTCTTTCTGCCCTGCGGACAGAAGAAGAGACCCTGTCTTGTGCGTTTTCATTATCTTTTTCTTTTTCTCAGTTGGACCATCTTGTTCTTCATTCTCTGAAGCTTCTCCATTGTCCTCTTCCATTTCAACATCAGACTCCTCTGGATAATCTGTGCTCGTTCAACTATTGTAGCTTATTCAAGGATTGGGTCCTCTGGAAACGCAACTCCAAATACTTTGGATTGCGTGGGACGTAGAACAGACCACAACTTTTTTTACATATCCTCTGGATATATGAGGATGCTGTTTATTTCAGAAGCTAGTTGCGTAATCATTGCAAGTTCCACTTCCATGAATGGCCCTTCCTTCAGTGCAATGAATTGCACAGCTGCATCAAACAAGAGCGCAATATGCTGTTCAAATCTTGGCTGGGTGGGTCCATTTTCAGGAGTCTTGAAGATATGGTCAATGGCTCCAATGGCGTTTGCTACGCGAAGTATTTGGCGGACAACATTAAGTTGCCTGGATGCAATAATGGACAAGCGGTTGCTAGATGCCGCCGTCGATTTGGGTTGTTGAACTATTTGGTGGTTTAACCCCGCATTTGACCCCAGAATGGGTGTTCGTGCTGACCTCTGTGAGGATTGCACGCGCCCGCTTGGCGGGTCTGGGATGCTTGAAGCATTCAATGAAATTGGATGACCGCTTTTGGATTGAGCAATAGCCCCAAGATCAAAACGTTGCTGGCACGCAGTGCGCAGCCTGCTTGAGATTGGGGGAGATTGCGGCAGGTTCATCGACATCGTGCTTCAAGCTGCAATGCTTCTTTTTGAGGAAATTTGAAAAATTCAAAATTTTATGAATTCAAATTTCAAAATTTCACACACGAAACACAGAATTCACACTTGTTGTAATTCACAGATTTACTGGTTAATGGTGCTATGGATTCAATGCCTTTCCAAGGCTATTTTACGGCCCACCAGCTTTGTGAGGCCTGAAGTCACAAAGATTTAGGTGGTATAGATGTACAAAGCAATCAGCCTTTATGAGGCTGGATCCTCCTTAATGGAGTCCCAATAAAGTTGGTTTAATCCTCAGGACAAACACACAACTCAAACAAGCAGTAACAGCTCAATTCCAATACACAATACCTTCCAGGTAAATATCAATCAATGACACAATGCACAATTCAAATAGCAGACAATCAGACACTTCGAAATCTCAGAGAGATGTTTTCCCTAGCAGGCTAAGTCAAGGAGTGACCATACTGGGCATTGCTGCCTTCCTTTTTGACTTTTACCAGAAACAGTCTCAGTAATAAAATGAAACAAAGTTTTTAGGTATAGCAGGAGCTTCCATCCTGCCCATCCCTGCCTGGTACCACTTTCTCTAATCCTTTCTGAAAGCGTGACCCAACACCAGCTTTGGCTATGGGCCCCAGAATGAAGCACCGTCGCCAGACTCCAGGCTTGGCTACGAACGGTTTCGTTGGGGGAAAAAAAGCCCCACAAGACGCACAGGAATATTTATCCACCGAAAACCCGAAGACAATCCCGACTTCTTCCCAACAATGCTTAAAAACACCGCTCCTTGGAAGCTGAATCATATTCAATCTAGCAAGTACATAACAGCCGAATCCGGCGCTTCGAGAAAAACCCCGGCGGAGACGATCAGAGATGTTTTATGGGAGAAAATGCCAGCGAGAAAAATTTATTGGACCAAAGTGGTTTGTTCTGAGACAACGCAATTTTTCAATGAGATGAAAAACAAAGAATACTTCACGATTTTCAAAAGAACTCGTCGTGGTTATTTCTCAAATTTCCCCGGGGCCTCAAAACCGTTTCAAAGCACAAAAAACGGTCCTTATACGAATTAATAACAAAGAACTTTCTCCGCAACGATTTTTTTTTTAATTGCGAATTTTTTGTGGTCCCATTCTGCGCCCATCATGTTACAGGGATTCTCTAAAACGATTTTTTTTTTTTGGTCCCCGGGAATTTCGTTGGAGAGAAAATCCACCATAATTGCGAGAAGTGGCCTTTCCTTTGAACCCATAATAACCCGACGCCAGACAACGGATAAAATGTAACGATAGCTTCGTCGGTAAACCGGCTAAATTTTCCGAGAAATAGCGATCCTCAGGCAACTAGACTTTCGCAGTTCGTCAGAGCGGGTGAACAACAACAACGTTGTGTGAATGGAATCATGGAAAAAACCTGGTAAAATTACGCAGGTTCTCTTCGTAAGCAAGCTCGACACGGAATTGCACAGTGAAATAAAGCCCGGCAACGATCCCAACGGCAACGGTGTTTCGGGTTTTCCACTGCTCAGCCTCGCGCTACGCGGATTGAACCCATTCACACGAAAATGCGTGGACTTCGAGCGATTTCGCGAGGAACGCAGAAAACGTGATGGATATATTTGTAATAGGCTATCGGTACTGGTTTCCGTCGAAGTACTGCAATTCACTTTCCAACATTGAAATCTCACCGGAACGAGTTCCAGGATAAAACAACGGCGATCTTTGCGACTAAACAGAAATTATTTTCATGAAGAGAGGACAAAACTGAAACGTTGGCTTGAGCAAATATACGCACGGGTTCAGAAACGTGTGGAAAACACAGCGATGATGAGTGGAACATCATCGACAAATCCGAAACGGTAATTATGATCATGACACTTGAAGAAACATATACTGTACGATGCACAACGATCACAAAAAAATTGCCCAAATTAAATTTAAATCCCAAACGCTGTATTCAAAAACAAGTGATTTAATTTTTTCCCCCACATCAAGAACTGCGAAAAAAGAAGAGCGAGTCCGGAAAGCTGAAGAAAACCCGCGATGGCAGAAATTTCCTGCGGCGGAGAATCGAGGGAGAAAATATTTCCGAGCTCCTGACAAAAACCCCAGTCGACGATTCGTAAGCGTAGCTACGAACAACTCCAGGCTTTAACTACGGCGATTTTCGACATTTCTCATACATAGTGTACCAGAGTTTGCCAGAGAATGATATGGCACGATATCAAATAAGCGTCCCAGGCTCCGTTACTGAACGGAGTATCCCAGAACATGTGATTTATTTCGCGATTATTCAATGGCAGTTTCACTGCGAGCCCTACCCGAAAACTGATTCAGTAGGATCTCGTTACAACGAAACGTTTGGGACAGAAAAAAAAGCTTCGTTATAAACGAAAATGTGTTGAAACTAAGTTAAAATCTTATTGTGGGTATTGGACAGGGGCCGAAACAAAAAGCTTGTCAAAAGCATTAAATCGTTCAAACGAGATTCTACTGCATTTCATTTACTTTAAACGCTCATAATAGTCAGTCCACTCTATCCTATAATAAATTTCTTTAATTTTCTAAAATGAATGACGTAATTTTTCAGGCTGATAGCGCGTCGAAATTTGAAGGAATGTCAGTAAAATTATTTCGCTTCATCCTCGAATTTTATCTTCCCGCCTGTAAACTAAAACTTCATTTTGTACATTTTGAAAAAAAAAAGCGCTTCTTACACCACACAGAGATATCGTGCCTAATATCACGCGATTTCAACAAATGATAATTAAATCTGGAAATCCTTTACGGCCATTGATGCAAAAATTCCTTTTCTTCAACATCGAATGCTTCCTCAAAAACAGTATGAAGAAATCCCAGCGTAGATCATAAAAAAGGAACTGAAACTTGGAACGAGAGAAGCCTCAAATTCCATTTTACTTCCGACATTTTGGATAATTATTAATTGAAAAAATACCGTAGGAGATCGTCATGCAGTCATACGTAGCCCGTTAAGACACCCCGCAATAAACCGCCACTCTCAGAAACTGCAAATTTATTTTTCGAAAACAAATCTTCCTTGACGGTAAAAGCATTGGGAACCCCATTAAAACGCCTTCCGCCAAAATCATCATGCTCTTTTTATTTGATATCCCGCCGAAATGCTTCATGCTCAAGTTTGGGGAGGTCTCCAATTAAAAATAAACACGAACACAACGATGAAATAATTCACTTCGTTGGAACATCAGCTAGACATAATTTGCGCATCCCAGAGTTATTTTCATTGTTTTCCAGAAAGTTCGAATAGTATTTCCTTCCTATATTTAATTTTCATATTGTTTCAGCTCTTTTATTGAACTACCAATCCCACTGATTTGCCACAAAGAAATGGCGGAGGCCTATTGAGGTTTGAATATAATTAAAAAAGATCCCTTGTGATTTTTCCAACCACCAGAAGCACTTGAGAAAATTAAATTTAGGAAAGAGCCCTAACCAAGGAACTTGTTAGCCAGAAACTGGGCATTCAAAATTCCAGGACTAGAAGGCCTTCTACCCTAACAAATGACGAAGAACCCAGAAAATCCCAAGGAAAAGGTCTAGAATCTACTAGATCATGCATTCGCGTCATCGCGCGATTCAACGAGTTCCTTCACAGAAAGATGAAACCCGCAGCATTGTCGAGAATAATTTCGACGAAGCATACAATATTTGAAGGAAATCAGCAGAAGAAAACGCAAGAACAGCAGAAAAAATAAACGGTGCTCACCTTTCGAGAAGCCGATCTCGTTCGGCAGTTGAGGCACGAAAGCGTATTTGGCCATCGCCTGGCCCGGATTATTCATCCATGGCCCGTTCATAAGTTCAACGTAGGAAACCGGGAAGATCCCTCTGGAAGCATGTCTCTCACCTTCGTACCAATTCTTGTCTATTCTCCGTCCAACGTAAATCAGATCTCCTTTCATGAAGCTCAATTCTCTGCAACAAATCCCCGAAGAACATAGACTGCTCATTAGCTACGAAGATTCAAATTCGGCTCCCTGCCAAATTTGAATTATTCGCAGAGTGTCGAAAATATTCTATGATTTAAAAATAATATAATATTATACAATACATGAACATTTTTTGAGAGTTTTCTAGACTTCGGCTCTGCAGATCACACTAGGTTTTTTGTGGGCTTTTTGGCACAAAATTCTGCAAATATATCCCAGATCTGCCACAGAAGAGTTAAGTAGACTAGTGAAGAATCACCAGTCCGGAAAAGGTACGTCATTCACACAAGGCGTACTCAACAACAACTTTCCAGGTGTCCAGATTTTTTTATACATGGGCATCAGCTGAGAATAGTTTAAATACAATATCATCTCGTTAAACGACTATTCGATAACAACGAAGTCGCTTTTTAGATCCCAGACCAACGGTCAGAATGTTAAAACAGTTCTTTTACAAGGAATTTTCGTTACAATGAATCTATTTTTACTGTTCCCAACGGCTTTGCATTGTAACGAGATTTTACTGTACTGCGGCAAAACTCACTTCGCGTTCTGCGCGTGGAAGTCGTAAAGGGCTCTGGCAGTGATCCTCTTGTCTTCACTCCATCTCGGTCGCTGAATGATGACTGGAGGAGGCCTGGTTGCCTCCAATCCATCATAACGGTTCCCTGGTATCAAGGACTTTTGCAACGGACTGCACCCAGAAATCATGAAACACGGAATCAGAAAATACCCTGAAGTATAGTTTTACCCAACCCATGGTCCGCGGACTGCCACCAATCCACAGAAAGTTTTTCGCCGGTCCGCGAGGAATTTTCTTAAGCACAAAAATTTTATCAAAAGTAGCAATGAAGTTTTATTTTTAACTGAACTTTCAGAAAAATTTGAAATTATCTGATGAAAAATGAAAGTTGGCTTTTCTCTGGATAAAAATTGAGGCAAAGTTTCCACTGCTCAAATAAATTATATCCGTATTTACTCCAGTACCATGGGCACCTTTTTTCTCAGATTTCAGAAGAAAAAAAGGGGTGCGCGTCATAAGCGGGTACAAATTTTTCAAGAAGTTTTAGGAAATTATGTGTGCATTATACTAAATCATAATGGAGAAATTTGGAGAAAATATAGCAAGGAAACTTTTTTGTACTGAAAAAGTTGAAAATTGATCAGATCTTTGTTCAATTCATGTCTACAGTCAATTTTTTTGCATTTATTTTCAAAATTTTGTGGTTTTAGATTCACTAAAAATTGGGGTGCGCATCTTACTTGAGGATACAATTTTAGCCCAATTTTCAGCTGGAAAACCCCTGTGCACGCCTTACTCAAGGGCGCGTGGTACTCAAGTAAATACGGTATTAGTTTTTCATTCTGAGAAACCTTTCTTCAAGCCCACCTTTCTATTTGTCTGAAGACA